CCAGAACAGTAAGCAGGAGCGGGCGGCCGCAAACCCCTGGATGTGGCGGCAGAAAGCTTGGGTGCCAGCACACCCCTGGTTGTGGCTGGAAACTGTTGGAGACTGGAAACTGTTGGAAACTGCGGGGTCGCGAGATCGACCCCGCGATCTTCACCGTCGGGGCGCAGCGGCTCATCGCGCCCGACGCGCTCCTCAACGACCTGCAGGAGTGGATCGCCTCTGCCAACTTGGGCTCCGACGCTGTCGAACTTCATGGAGACGAACCTGCGCGCAGATGTGTGCGATAAGCTAAAGGCGGACGCGACGTGGCCATCCCGCGTGCGCTGGCGCTCACCCGTGCCCCACGCGACGCTGGAGGCAAATGGAAGCGCTTCACATCCGTCGACACCTCGGGCACGCCGACGGACATCTACCCCAACCCCGACAAGTCGCCAAAGCAGATCCGCACCGAGATCCAATGTAAGAAATTCCTCCAGCTCCTTCAACACCGCCACCCTCGAAAGTCATGGAAAGCATGCCGAGCCAAAGGCGAGATCCACTGCAACGCCATGCCTGTCGCGCGCCCGGGCGTCAAGGGGCAAGCCGACCCCGCCATCCTCGAGTGGAACGAGAAGGCGTTCGAGCTCGCCGCCTTCCGCGACATCGATCGCGGCGCCATCCTCGCGTCGTTCCAGGCGCTCTTCGCCGACACAGCGGAGGCCACGTGGCGGGTTTAGCCACCCCTGGTCGCCGCGGAAGCCCGTCGAGGACGATAGGCCCAGCTTATTCATCACGTGGAACGCCAGGGCCCTCATGTGCCACAAGCGCTCCAGGCGCCATCGCAAGCAGGCGGCCCTGCAGCAGTACATGCGGAAGGGCGCCGTCATCGCCCTGCAGGAGGTCCACGGTGCGGAGGCGCTCCTCCGCACTTGGGTCGACACGCAGCCGTATCCGCACAAGCTCTTCTTCCCCCAGTTCGTTGCGGCAGATGGCGACGAGGCCCTCGCTGGCGCGGGCGGCGTTGCTCTACTCATACCGTGGCTCTCACACGCGCAGCTCGAGCTCTTGCAACCCGAGCAGCTCCCTATCCTCAGCCACGAGGGGATCGTCAAGGGGCGCGTCCAGGCGGTCGCCATCACCAACGCCACCTCGCGCAACTCCATGGCCATCATGAACGTCCACAATCACGAGATAGACGCGCGGGGTCGCGAGCGCATTCAGCGCTCATGGCAGATGCACCGCGCGCTGGCGGATGCCAACTACCAGCACCGTACCTTCCTCGCGCTGAGTGACTTCAACACGGCCAGCCGCCCACCGAACAGCTTTTTCCAACCGCAACCACAGCGTGCACGCCTGGCACTGGGCAGTAGCGCACGGCAGCAGCAGCCCTTTTGGAAGGCCCTCTTCGAGAGCATGCTCGAGATCGAATCTGACCTCCCGACGCGCTTCAACAAGGCTGACTACTCCGCGTCGGCCATCGACAGGATCTTCATCCGCTTGTCGTCGCACGCGATGCTCGAGCTCACTTCCTGCCTCACCATCGCACGCGACGCTGCCATTCTTCCGGATCGCCTCCTCAGTGACCACGCCATCGTCTCGTACTCCATCGGCATCAAGCCGAAGACACCGATCGAGGAGCAGGCGATCCCGCCCGCGATCTTCCGCGACCCATCGTACGCCAAGTACCTCCAGCAGCTGCCAGACCACACCGTCACGCGCCACGGGGCGATCGAGAACCGCTGGCGCGCACACAAGACCCTCATGGTCGAGGCCGCGAGGCTCGTCCGTGATGATTGGGTCAGCCGCGCTGCCGGCGAGATCGGCAAGTCAAACCACTCCGACGGCCAGGTGGTCACGGCGCGCTCGATCTCGCGCGCGGTCTGGCGCCAGGACGTTCGCCTTGCTCGACGCCTGCAGTCCACCACTGAGCTTGGCACCAAGTTTCTCACAATCGACGACGGACACATCGCGCTCGCGGATGCTGCCGAGTTCGCCATGAAGTCTGCCGCGCTGCACCGCGACTTCGAGGCTCGGCAGCGCTCTCTGGGCCAGCGTGCAGCCCAGCTGCCGCGAGGCCCCCCAGGAGCCATCGACCCCGAGAAGCTCAGAAAAATCACCCGTTCCTCCCGGCGCAGGGCCCAGCTTTGGGCCCCTTGGAAGCGCCGCCTGCTCCTCCAGGGAATCAAGACCACCGATCCCGAGGGCCGCCCAGGGATAGCCAGAGAGAGCTGTGCGGTGGCGGATGCCCTCCGCGCCCACTGGCGCTCCGTCTTGGAGCGCAAGCACGTCGACGTCGCCAAGGTCCAGCAGCACATTGCCCAGCACATGCCCAACCATCCCATCATCGACGTCGGCGCGCCCACCATGGCGCACATCAGAGGCTTTCTGCTTCGCACTGCGCCGTCTGCGCCTGGGCCCGACCTCTTGCCGTGCCGCGCCTGGCTTGCCGCGGGCGCGTCTCTGGACCTGCTGGAGGACCTCGCATGGCACCTCTGCTCCAGCTCCGACTTCATCCACGACCTGACCGACTCAGACTTCGCGTTCCTGCCGAAGGGCGACAAACTCACGGGCGAGCTTGCCGCGGTCCGCTTGCCTGAGGACACGCGCCCGCTGCCTCTCAAGAACACAGACATCAAGGCCATCGCAGGTGCGGCCAACTTCCTCATCAAATCCGCTGTGGCCGAGCGGACTCATTACTCGCAGCAGGGCTTTGTCGTGGGCCGCAGCTTCACCAAGCACATCGTCAACCTCGACGCCGAGATGCGCCGCGCTGGAGTTCGCCCAGATGCCGACACGCACAAGCCCGTCTTAACCAGCTTCGACTTCGCGGCGGCGTTCCCGTCGCTAGGACGCGCATGGCTCTTCGCGTCGCTGGAGCGCTTCGGTGCCCCCGAGGGCCTTCTGAGCCTCTTTCGCCAGCTGTGCCACGCCCCCAACAGCTTCCTCAAGGTCGACGGCGTTCGCCACTTCATGTTCCCGATTGAGTCTGGTGTGGCTCAGGGCTGCCCTGCGAGCGGCTCGGCGCGGGCGATCGCCATGGGCCCGCTCGTTCGCCACGTCGCCTCGTTCGTCGAGTCCGCCGACGGCATGCCTGACTACGACAATGGCTACTTGGGCGTCTGCGCGGACGACACTGGCCTCCTCACGTTCTCGTTCAACACGCTGCGCGCTGCCTCTGAGCCCTTTGCCGCAGCTGAGGAGCTTGCGCTCCTCTCCCTGAAGCCCCGCAAGTGTGTCATCGTCCCGCTTTGGGCGAAGTCGTCGCCTGCCACCATCGCTCAAACGAAAGCGCTCCTGGCCGAGCTCTGTCCTCCCTGGGGCGGCTTTTCGGTTTCGGGGCGAGCCAAGCACCTCGGGGCCTTCCTCGGACCTGCGGCCACCCTCGCTCACCAATGGCCCGCCCCTGGGCAGAAACGGTGGCAGTGCGGGAATAGTTCACAGCTTGTGCAGGGTGGCAGTGGCGCCACCGTTCGCCTCCATAACAGCTCAGTTGTTTCTACGCTCAGCTATGCCTCGCAGTTTTTCCCGCTCGATCAGAAGATTGCCCGTCGGGAACATTACATTTTCCACGAGGTGCCCAGCCTGCCGCCAAACACATTCCGCAACATAGACCTCATCGCCATGGCGGAGTGGTGTCCGCCTCCTGTCCCTCGCCCAGCTCAGACTTCAACTGTCGCTGCCGCCATTTGTTCTGCCACCTTCACGCTCCGAGGGGAATGGGAATCATTCCGCACTCGCCTGCAGGACACCGCTTGGGAGGAGAGTACGGCTCACTCCTTCCATCGGTGGGTTCAAGGACAGTGGTCCCCGCCTTTCTGGGAAGAACCCACGGCCGTCGTTCAATTCTACCATGCTTTATTGCGCGGCAAGAGTGCCGCCCCGTTCTCAGCAGCTGCCGCGGCCGCGGCGAACCGCGCAGCTGCCCGCGACATTCGCGAGGCCCCGAGTGCTGAGCCACCGCGCCGCCCCAAGGTACAGCGCGCGGTCGCGCTCACACTGCAGCGGGCCTACTTCTCTTCGCCCTTCACAGTCACGCTTGAGAAGCGCATCGCAGCCTGGGGCGTTCCTCAACCACCACCGCCCCCAGAGCTCGCGACGCGCTGGGCTGCTCTGACGAATGCCCTGCGCACCGTCCGCCCGAGCTGGCGCTGGGCGGCATGCGAGACCCTCGCAGGCGGATGGGCAACGACCCACCGCATGCACGTTCTCCAGCAGAAGCCGCGTGCGTTCGGGTGCCCAGCGGCACCCGATTCATTCCCTCACTACCTCTCCTGCTCGGTCCCCCCGAGCCTCCTCTGGTCCCCCGACTCGCCCCCCCTCCGCAGCACGCTTGCACATTGGGGCCTGGGCCCCGCTGCAGCATATCCGTCTGGACCCGCGAACGAGCTCTCGTTGACGCGGACGATTCAGTGGATCGTGCTCGCCTTTCACCTCTATAACAAAATTAAACACGCCGCGCTGACCCCAGCCACGATTGCTGAAGGGTTGAGCGCCGCCAAAGCCCTGCTCTGGAAGTAGACGCGCGGTGGACGGCCTGGAGCGGACGGACATCTTGCCCTCGTGTCGCTTCGTGTCCGCTTGCCCTCGTCTCTTCCTCTTGGAGTACGTGCGCTCCTCTTCCTCCTTCTCTTCGCCTTCCACCCCCAACTCCCTTCCCCTTCCATCACATCATACGTACGCCATCGTTTCCTGCCTCCCTCCAGCCCGAGCTCCTCCTTTAGTTCAATGTTTCGGAACGGGCAGAATGGATACCAAGGGAGGTGAAGGACAAGAGTGGATCTTTCAATGCGCACGATGGTTCGATGACATAGCTTGGAGTTCCCAGGCCCCGAAGCATAAAGCGCTCCCGAGTTCATGACTGGCAGTGCCAGGACCACTTTGGAAAGTCTTTCTATCTTTCTCTCTCTCTCTCTCTCTCTCTCTCTCTCTCCAGGCCCACGTGTTTCTGCGTCACCCGTGTCCCCATACCGCTGGCCACCGGTTGTTGCCCGCGCGTGCAGCATAGATCTGCTTGCGCAAAGGTGCGGTTGGGCCCCAGCTACGTGAAGATCGGGCAGATCATCTCCAGCCGCCCAGACAAGGTGCCAGAAGAGTACATCGAGGAGTGTCCCCGGCACCGTTTCCGCTGCTCCTGCGCGTTCCCTGCGCTGGCCTTCCCGCGTGCACGATATGACAGTGGCAGATACTGGACGCGCTCCTTCGAGCAGTGGCGAAACGTCCTCGCTTGCCTTTTGGCCCACCAAAGACTGTTCTAAGAACCTCTTATGGTCTGCCCGAAATGTTCTCCGGACATGCCTGGCCGAGACCCTTTTGCTTTGACACATCGGGATTATATGTTCTACGAACATTGTTTTTGTTATTGGAACAGTTCTGGGTTGGTGGGCCTATGGAATGCTGGGACGGCCGTTCCCTGCGCAACTCCTTGCATCTGCGGCACGCAATTTTTACCTTTGGTCAGGTTTCGAACGGAAGTAAGGGCGCAGTGCAGTGCAGGTTTCGCTTCCTTCTCTCGCCCCAGGCTTCTGCAATTGGAGGTGGCTCGTAGCGAGGCTGTGAGCTGGTCCGTGCCCAGGAGCTCAAGTGCCTGCAGGATAACGTGCCCGCCTTCAGCGGCAGGCGTGGACCGGACGCCCAGTATGGCATGGCATGGCATGAGGAGCAGGGCTGATGAAGCATGTTGATGCGACCCTCCTGCGCCCTGATCCGTGACCTCGACACTTGCTCGCGTCTGATTGGAAGGCCTGGCGCCAGCTGGCACCAGGATCGAGGAACGCAGGCATTGCGAAGCCATCGGTCAAAGACTGCTGCATGAGGTGAAGCCACTGCGACACTCCATGTGTGAGATATGGCGGTGCCCGACCATGCTTGCCCACTCAGCTTGGGAAAAGTTTGTTTGGCGAAGACCCCAACCATTTGCTGTTGTGAGTATCTCAATTGTGAGTACGATCTGAGGTGAAACTCCCCATGGGGCAACGCCCGCATGCGGGCTGTGCCGCTGGGGCCTTCGGTGGAGCTCCCTATGTGGCCACGAAACGTGTGAGGGGTGTGCCGAAACAGGAGTGCCGCCCAAATGTGGACTGCGACACTGGGGCCGTAGATGGAGCTCCCTGTGAGGCCACGAAACGTGTGGTGAGGGATGCGGTGGTAAAAGGGAGTGTCGCCCACATGCGGGCTGCGCCACTAGGGCCTTCGGTGGAACTCCCTGTGGGGCCACCACACGTGTGAGGGGTTTGCCGAAGCTGGGGTGTCGTCCACATGCGAATCATGCTCCACCGAAGGCTCCAGTGCCACCGCCCGCATGCGTCCCACACCCATTTCGGCACACCCCTCACACGCTTCGTGGCCCCATAGGGAGCTCCACCGAAGGCTCCAGTGCCACCGCCCGCGTGCGTCCCCCACACACGCATTTCGGCATACCCCTCACAGGGTTCGTGGCTCCATAGGGAGCGCCACCGAAGACGATATTCACAATTGCGGTACCCACAGATGCATACTTTTCGGGTCCTTCGCCGGGCTATTTCTTTGCCGCGGCTTGTTTTTAGGTTCTCTGTGGTCGAAAGAGAGCTTTTCCTTATGGGATTGCGTTTGGGTCGTTTCATTAGTGTTATACCAACCGTCCGTGCTTGGTAGATGTTTCCCAACCATCCTGTGGTATTGGGTCCTTGTTTTGGAAGGACAGCGCCCCGCGATCCTCCCTTCCTCCTCCCCCCCTCCTCCCATCATAGTCGCCATCGCCATCGTCATCGCCGTCATCATCATCATCATCATCATCATCATCATCATCATTATCATCATCATCATCATATCTGGTCCTGGAAAGCACCAGCCGAGAAGCTTCGCAGTCGCTGTCATCACATTCGTTCGCTTAACCTCGGGCTCGTCAGGAACATTGCTGCATATAACCTGATTGGCCACACCGTCCTTTGCCACATCCAACAGTTCTTCATGCCCACGCCTGCCGTCTTTAAAACAATACGTGAAAGTGTACAGCTGCTGACAGCCGCACCGCGATTTGCAATTACTAGTCAGATGCTGGAAAGTGCAGAGCTCATAGGTCTTCCTCAACTACGTCGTCTCGAGGTCGAAAGGCGCGCTGCAGTGTTTCGTTGTGCCCAGAAGTCCGCCATGTATCATCACTTTGTTGAAAGGCTGGAGGATATCCGTGACGACCCCCAGCACCGTGTGGCATTCGAACATCACCCCTTATTTAAACACTATATCTTCCATCAACTCTATAGCAATTATAATCATATTTGTTGCCTGCCCAGTTTTCATCGTCGCATTCCTGATGTAGCTAGGCTTGATATCCAAAGGCTCATTTCTTGCTTCTTGCGTGCGTCTTTCCCTGCCCCCTCGCTCTTGCCTCCTCTCTTCCGTCGTATTATCCACCTGCTTCCTGATGCTAACCTGCATGACGCTGATGTGTGTGCAATTCGGTTAGGCGTGATAAGTCAGCATCTCCCGACTTTCGTAACTTGCGCCGTGCTCAGAAGTTTGTGTAACGCTTGGTGCACATCCCGCAGATTGCGGCAGGGATGTCAAACGTGCAGAGCTGGATGCAATGCAGTTGGCGGAAATGACCTTCGCCACTACATGGTCTGTCCTATATTAGCCTCCGCTGCCGCCAATCATCTGCGCTCATTGCCTCTGTCGCGGTCCGAATTCTCGGCTGAATCTCGTATTGTTCTCTCTCGAGCGCCAGTGTCTGCAACTGATTGTCTCCTCTCCATTGCCATCTTTCACGATCTCACGCTCGCTGCTTTTAATCAAATTAGAACTGCAGCTGCCGTCTCGGCAACTGCGGCGCGGCGCGCCGTCGATGCCAGAGCCCGTCTGCTCGCAAAGCGCTCAACTGCGCTGCGTGCCCTGTTGGCCAGAAGCACTACGGCCCGAAGCTGAGGAGATCATCTCCATCATCATCATCATCGTCATCGTCATCATCATCAGCAGCATCATCATCATCTTCATAATCATCAACAGCAGCACCATGATCGTCATCGTCGTCATCATCATACGTTCCGTGGCCCCATAGGGAGCTCCACCTACCGCCCCAATGGCACCGTTCGCTTGTGAGCGTCATCCCGTTTCGGCACACCCCTCATACGCTTCGTGGCCCCATCGGGAGCTCCACCGAAGGCCCCAAGGCATCGTTCGCACGTGGGCGTCACCCCTGTTTCGGCACACCCCTCACGCGTTTCGTGGCCCCATCGGGAGCTCCACCGAAGGCCCGAGTACCACCGTTCGCATGTTGGCGTCACGCCCGTTTCGGTGCACCCCTCACACGTTTCGTGGCCCCATAGGGAGCGCCACCTGAGACCCCAATCGCACCGTTCGCATGTGGGCGACACCTCCGTTTCGGCACACCCATTCACACGTTTCGTGGCCCCCATTTGGAGCTCCACCTACGCCCCCAATGGCACCTTTCGCACTTGGGCGACATTCCCGATTCGGTGCATCCCGCATTCGCTTCGTTGCCCGATAGGGGCTCCAACTAAGGCCCCGCTGGCACCGTTTGTATGTGGGCGTCGCCCGTGTCGGCACACCCCTCACACGTTTCGTGGCCACATAGGGAGCTCCACCGAATGCGCCAGTGGCGCCGTTCGCATGTGAGCGCCACCCCTGTTTCGGCACACCTCTCACACGCTTCGTGGCCCCATCGGGAGCTCCACCTAAGGCCCCACAGCTCCCCATGGGGCCACGAAATGCGTGAGAGGGGTGCCGAAATGGGCGCGGGGGACGCAAGTGGAGGGTTGCCTTGGGGCTTTCGGTGGAGCCCCCTATGGGGCCACGAAACGTTCGAGTGGTGTGCCGAAATGGGTGCGTGGGACGCGTGTGGACGGTGGCATTGGGGCCTTCAGTGGAGCTCCCTATGGGGCCGCGAAACGTGTGGGAGGTATGCCGAAAATGGTGTGGGGGACGCTTGTGGGCGGTTGCACTAGGGCCTTCGGTGGAGCTCTTTATGACGCCACGAAACGTGCGAGGGGTGTGCCAAACTGGGTGTGGGAGCCGCATGTGGGCGGTGGCCTTGGGGCCTTCGGTGGAGCCCCCAATGGAGCCACGAAGCGTGTGAGGGGTGTGCCGAAATGGGTGTGGGGACGCGTGTGGACGGTGGCACTGGGGCATTCGGTGGAGCTCCCGATGGGGCCACGGAGCGTGTGAGGGGGGGGCCGACATGGGTGTGGGGGACGCATGGGGACGGTGGTACTGTGGCTTTCGGTCGAGCTCCCGATGGGGCCACGAAGCGTGTGAGGGGTGTGCCGGAATTGTTGTGGGGGGCACATGTGGACGGTGGCACGGGGGCTTTCGGTGGAGTTCTCAATGAGGCCACGAAACGTATGAAGGGTGTGCCGACATGTGCGCGGGAGACGCATGAGGACGGTGGCATTGTGGCCTTCGGTGGGCCCCCCTATGGGGCTACGAAGCGTGTGAGGGGTGTACCGAAGTGAGCGTGGGGGACGCATGTGGACGGCGGCACTGTGGCGTTCGGTGGAGTTCCCTACGGGGCCACGAAACGTGTGAGTGGGGGTGTCGGCATGGGCGTGGGGGACGGACGCATGTGGACGGTGGCATTGGAGCTTTCGGTGGAGCCCCCTACGGGACCACGAAACGTGCGAGTGGTGTGCCGAAATGGGTGCGGGGGGGGGGGGGGCGCATGTGGACGGTGGCACTTGGGCCTTCGGTGGAGCTCCCCATGCGGCCACGAAACGTGTGAGGGGTGTGCCGAGATGGGCGCGGGGGACGCATGCGGACGGTGGCATTGGGGCCGACGGTGGGGCCACGTATGAGGCCACGAAGCGTTTGAGTGGTGTGCCGAAATGAGTGCGGGGGACGCATGTGGACAGTGGTATTGGTGCCTTCGGTGGAGCCCCCTTTATGGGGCCACAAAACGTGTGAGGGGTGGGCCGCAATGGGCGCGGGGGGGGGGCGCATGTGGAAGGTGCATCAGGGTCCTTCGGTGGAGCTCCCTATGGGGCCACGAAACGAGTGAGAGGTGTGTATGCCTCAGAGATGGCCTACACGCGATGTACATGATGACGATGATGGTGATAGCGATGACGAGGATGATGATGATGATGATGATGGTGCTGATGATGATGATGCTGATGCTGATACTGATGAGGATGATCATGGTGATGATGATGGTGATGGTGGTGATGATGATCATGATGATGATGATGCTGATGAGGAGGATGATGATGATGACGACGACGATAATGATGTTGACGATGGTGATGACGATGGTGATGATGATGATGGTGATGCTGATGCTGATGATGATGATGCCGATGATGCTGATGGTGATGATGATGATTATGATGCCGATGGTGATGATGATGATGATGATGGTGATGGCGATGATACTGGTGATGATGGTGATGATGGTGATGATGGTGATGATGTTGATGATGGTGATGAGAAGAGAAGAGAAGAGAAGAGAAGAGAAGAGAAGAGAAGAGAAAAGAGAAGAGAAGAGAAGAGACAAGAGAAGAGAAGAGAAGAGAAGAGAAGGGAGGGGGCAGCGGGAGGAGGAGTGAGAACGTGGGGCGCTGTCTCCTCCAAACGAGGGCCCGACACCACAGAATGCTCGGGAATTACGCATCTGCCGAAGTTCCGACCAAGCATAAAGATCGCGAGATGCAAAGAGACATTGTTGACACGTTTGATGGCGCTATTTGGATTTCGTGTTGTTCAACATGTAGTGCAGCGCGGCGCAAGCGGCGCGACGCATAGCACTGTTTGATGTGTTGTGTGTTGCTCCGCAGTGCAGCGCATTGGCTTGAATTGCACTGTTTGGGCTTACTTGTTTTTGAGTTTCTGTGCGTCGCACTGTCTTGCAATGTCATGTGTCGCAGTGCATTGCTTTCCTTGCGTGTCACGCCATTGCGCGTCATGCAAGTATTGCATGGTTTGTTGCATGTTGTCGCATTGCGTCGCGTGTTATCGCATTACGTTGCTGTTCAGCGGGTGGGTTCGTCAAGGAACGTGGGGTTATCCTCAAGAAACCCAAGGTGTTGGTAAGGGGGCATCCTCGAGGAACTTGTTCTCGGATTACAGCGGACAGGTGTTCTCTTGCACAAGAAAATTTAGACCACTGAAGCAATGACGATTGGCTCGGGCGGACTAGAATGAAGTCTGGAGGTGCTAAGGCCTGGCTGTGGAGAGGCTCCAGGGCCCGATGGGCGAGCTGCGGGTGAATTGCGCAATGACGGCCTCAGCAGTCAAGCAGCACGGAGGATTTGGACGGGAGGAAGGAGAGGGAGGGAGGGAGGTGCGGGAGGGGAGGAGGGAGGGGGGGAGGGAGGAAGGGAAAGGAGGGGAGTGACGAGGATGCAAGCGGAGGGAAGGTGAGGTGGGAGGAAAGGAGCGGAGGGAAAGTAGGAAACGAGAGGAGGGAGGGAAATGAGATGGGAGGGAAGCGAGACCAGAGGTTTCACCTGATTGCATTTCACCCTATGTTGGGTGAAGCAGCTTCATGTGAGGATTTTTCTGTTCGGACTCCGCGCGTGCTAGGGACTCCGCGAAGCGTCACTGGCCCGACCGATTCGCCGTGCAAGGCTCTATTAGGAGCATTCCTGCGCAGCGTTTGCGGGCACAAGAGGCGCTGCAACGCGAGCGACTCCAACACCTCAGTGCGAACGCTAGCAACACAGATACAAAGCGAGAACATATCCTGGCGAAGAACCCAACCCCCTCTGATACACGAGGCGATTAAAAGCAAGACCCCGCCCAAGATACGAGAACACATGGAGGGATCTGCAATGCGCCTGGACGCTTCGCCAATTACCTGACTATGGGGCCACGAATGTGTGAGGGGTGTAGGCGCGTGCGTGTGCGTGTGTCGCAACTCCCGCGCCGCCGCTCGAGACATCCTCGCAACTCCGGCGCCGCCGCTCGAGACATCCTCGCAAATCCGGTGCCGCCGCTCGGGACATCCTCGCAACTCCGGCGCCGCCGCTCGACGCATCCTCGCAACTCCGGCGCCGCCAGTCGAGACATCCTGCGGCGCCGCCGCTCGACGCATCTTCGCAACTCAGGCGTCGCCTCTCGAGTCCTCGGGGGAGGACGGGTCGCCTTGGGGGCCCTTTCTGGCACCTCTGAGAGCTCTCTTGAATTATCCTGGCGCCCTCTCGGGAGCCCTTTCGGGCTCGTCTTGCAGCTCTCTTGGGCCATCTTGACGCCCACTTGACGACCTGTGTTAGGTCTTCCGGTGCCCGTCCTGGAATCTCTCTTTTCGGGCGCCTCTTGGAGCTCTCTCGGGTCGTCACGATGGACTTTCTGGAGGCCCTTTGGGCCGTCTTGGGGGCTCTTGGAGCCCTTTTGGGCCCTCTGGGAGGCACCCGAAAAGCTTGAATTAAGTACCCCTCCTCCTCCTCCTCCTCCGACTCCTCCTCCCCCTCCTCCCCTCCTCCTCTCCTCCCCCCTCCTCCTCCTCCTCCTCCTCCTCCTCCTCCTCCTCCTCCTCCTCCTCCTCCTCCTCCTCCTCCTCCTCCTCCTCCCTCCAGCCGCCCGTTTGGCGGGCCTTGCGGCGCCGCCTCGTCAGCCCATCCAGAGAAAACTGCCGGGCGAGCTGCCTTGATCAGGAACGCGCAGGTTTTGCCGTCTATGAACGCTCCGGGGGCCTCCCACGAGGTCCCCCATCCATCTGTCAAGAGGGCCAAGGGGGCTTCGAGACAACGCCTGCGGGGAGGCCCTCTTGGAGCCCTCCTGGTGGAGCCGCCTTGGAGCCCCCCCAGAGCCCGAGGGCTTGGGCGCGAACGCCTGGGCGCGAACGCTTGGCATAAACCGCCATCCCGGGTAACTGGGGGGGGGGGGGGGGGGCAATCTGCCCCCCCAGTTGCCGGGCATTGCACGTGCAATGCCCGGTAAACCGGAGTGTGCAGGGTCCCTGCAACCCCTGATTAGGTCGGGTTGGGACCCCCTCATGCCGGGCGTTCGGTCTTTGGGGACCCCCCCTGTGCCGGGCATAGGCGGGCGTTGTACGTGCAATGCCGGGTGTTCGCGCCATGGCGTTCCCGCCGGGTGTTCGTGATTCGTGGTATTAGTCTGTTTGTATTAGGTTCATTGCATCTTGGCTTTAACAGCAGAGCATATGGCACCGAATATTGAGACGCCAGTGATCACCAGCCTCAAATATGAATCCGCTGATGTTCCTGGTGGCACGCAGTCTGAATCATTCACTTGAGGATTTGTTGTGCATCGTGTGCCGCGGGCTTTCTTGTCCAGCACGCGCCCGCCGTCGCGCGCGGCTCGCTCGTGTCGCGATCTCTCAGCAGAAGCTGCTCGATGTTCTCTTGGCTTGCTTGTGCCAGTCAGCATCGCGTTGCTCCTCTGCTGCAGCTCTCTTCGCTCTGGGGGAGGGAGGGTGCAGGGAAGGAAGCTTGCCTCCCTCCAGCTCTCCAGCGGCAAGGCGCGCGAGGGCCATCCTGGAGGCGGAGCTGAAGAAGCCGGTGTCGGAATTGTTTAAGGAGCTTCGGCCCCCCCCCTTGTGAGGGCAGGGCGGCTTCAGCGGCTCGGGAGTCCACCTGGGTCGTTGAGGCCAAACCCCGCTAAGGGGATTCAGCGACAGTTCCCAGTCGCTCAAAGTGGCGGCCGATGGTCCTGAGTGCAATCTGTGGCTTGCTGAATCTGGGGGTGATCAGATGTGTAATGCCATGAAGGTGGTGAAAGAAACGTGTCTCAAGTGAGAGAGGCGCAAGTGCGAACCCTCGTCGACAAGCCAGAGACGACGGAAGGTAAATCATTATGTCGCCTCCAGCTTGGCGACGAAGGAATACCCCTGGAATTGACCTTGGATAAGTTACCTTCCGCATGACGATCTTCGGTAAGTATATCGAAGTTGGCAATTAGGACAGTGCTCAGGCTGACGCGTCGCATTGAGCGACCACAAGGTGTTACCGTAGTGATGACGGCCGTGGTGATGTTGATGGCGATGGCGGCGTTCGCGCGAGACGGGTTTGGCCGCAATGTGAAGCAACACTTAGTGCACGCATCAGCGCACGCAAAGTTCTGCCAGGGTGGCAAGCGTTGCCCCTTCGAATAGCACGCTGGCTGTGCCCTGGGCACGTTCCTGGTGACGTACACTTGCAGTCGCTATCACACGCGTTGCCATCGGTTGGATCGTGCCTTCTGGGGCTTTCTGGTATTGCCTGTGGCCTCCTGGGGCTGGCCCAGGCCTCTTAGGGCCTCCTGGGCTTCCTCCCCCTGTACTCTTCCCTGCGACACCTCCCGCGACGATGGCGACGACGTCGCGTCCCACGACGACGACGCACCAGGGCCCTTGAGTTTGACGACGAGCCGCTGGCGGCAGCCTCCCTAGGGCGACGACGACGGCAACGACAGGAGGGGAGTGGATGAGGGGGAGGAGTAGGAGGATGAGGAGTAGAGTGAACCCAGGATGCAGCAGCCATACCACCATACACCACCTCGTCCCAAGTCTCCCGTCCTCACGAGTCCCCACAAGCCTTCAGCTGCGACACAAGAAGCGCACCCTTGACAGACGAGCACCCTCTGGCCTGCCGTGAAGGCGAGATAGCCCCCTTTTGAAAATGCTTTGGCGAGCATCCTTTCGGCGTGTTGTAATGAACGCGAAGAGGTATAAACGATGCGTCCAGCGAGGGTCCCCTCTTGAAAATGAGCCGCCCCCGATCCGTGTCTCTGCTGCACAAGCTTACGCGCATGTTCTCTCTAGTCTGGAGGAAGTCGAGTTCGAGAACCATACTTGGAAAAAAACAACCGCCCTCAGTAGATGCAGGTATTACAACCTTCTGAGGAGGTCTCAGGCGAGAGCCACATATTGGAAATGAAGGGCCCTCGAATCATGTAACTGTCGCGAACTTCTGAAAGCAATGCGCGCGGCGCTAAAACGATAGCCCGATTCTGATAACCAGCCACCCTTCATCCTTGTGAATGTCACTATGTTTGAAGACCACTGTGCGTGGCGATAGGGCAAAAGCCCCATTTTGAAAACCAGCCCCCGATATCTTGATATGTGCTTCAAGCTTTCCAAACACATGCGCGCGGTGAGTAGGTAAGAGCCCAATTTTGAAAATGGCCCCTCCTCCATCCGTGTAAGTGTTGCGACGGTTTCAGACAAATGTAAGTCGCGCGAGGGCGAGAGCCACATGCTCCCCCCGCCCCCCCTCCCTCCGAGCAGCTGCTGCAATTTGAAGTTTCGGGGCCATAAGTGGTGAGGAAGTCTCAGACGATACGCCCAGCCTCCCCTACCGGCACGCCTGGGTGCAAGACAGGGAGGAGTTTTTTGAAAGAGCAAAGGATGGAGGAGGAGGAGGAGGAGGAGGAGGAGGAGGAGGAGCTTACAAGAGCAATGGATGGAGGAGGAAGAGGAGGAGGAGGAAGATCGACGATCGACGGTCGAAACGACGTCGCGCTTGGGGCCTATGAGTTCGATCGGCCACAAGCCGCTGGCGGCCGCCTCCCTCGGGCGACGTCCCCCGCCCCTGCGCTGACCCCCGCGGCGACGAGCGACGACGGAGCTCGACCTCAGCGGCGTTGTGGCGATTCCGTGGACCGTTTTCGTTTTGCTGCCTGCAGCAAAGGCGGAGGATGACAGACTCGAGTGAAAACGGAAACAAAGCGAATCCGAAGAACACTGCTTGGGTCGAGCCCTGTGACGTCCCCACGGCCGAGGAGTTCGACGACGTGCCGCTGGCCGCCGCCTCCCTCGGGCAGGTGCACCGCGCCGTGCTGCCCGACGGCCGCGAGGCGCGGGCGGCCCGGCAGCCCGAGCGGTGGCCCGCAGGAAGTCCAGGCGCACCGCTACCGGTCGGGGGGTGCCGGAAGGTGCCCCTGGCCCAGGGTGCCCCCAGCTGGGCCCTGGGGTGGCTGAAGGGTGCCCCTGGCCCAGGGTGGCTGAAGGGTTGCTGAAGGTGCCCCTGGCCCAGGGTGGCTGAAGGGTGCCACTTTGAAGTCCCCTGGGCCCCCTGGGCCTCGTGAGGGGTGCTGTGGAGGCCGCGAGGGCCCCCCTGGAGATCCTGGGGGCACCCTGGGCCAGGGGCACTTCTAGCAACACCCGTATTGGGATGACCGCGGGGGGTGCTGAGTGGATCGGAGGTTCGGGGGTTAGATCGCAGTGGAACGGAAAGCCTCCCACCGGGAAGCCCGTGTCCGATTCGTGGTCGGGTCGTGCGGGCGAGGCGAAGCTGCGTGGGCTGGCGAGAGGAATGATCCCGCCCTGAATGAGGCGAAACCAGGCTCAATGTCTCTCCTCCCCCCAGTTGGCCGGCGGTGGCCCGGGGGTGTCCCGCCGGTTTCCCGTGGTGCTCCATGGTGTCCCGTGGCGCGGTGTCCAGCGGTGTCCCGTGGTACCCTGGAGGTCGATAGTGATATCGATTGTGAGATCGATTGAGTGAGGTCGACAGTGAGAGCGGTAGTGTGGTCGATCTACAATTTGAAAGTGTGATCGATAATGATTGCGAGGTCAGTAGATAGTGAGATTGAAAGTCGAACATATTGTGATGTCGAGAGTCCGATCGAAAGTGAGATCGACGATGTGGCCGATTAAAATTGAGATTGATGGATGGACGGAGATCGATAGTGGGATCGATAGCGGTTTCTGTGGAGTCCCGTGATGTCTCGTGGTGCTTTGAGGCCTTGTATGTTTATCCATGTGTTCCTCAATGGAAGAGCGCCCGGGCAAATAAATGCCACCTGGTTCCGCGGGTTGCTCGGATGTTTTTTTAGGGCGTCCCGAGTCAGATTCCCCAATCAGAGCTTGCCTCTGTAGGGGTCCTAGCTGATTCATATGATCAGGTGAGCTTTGCCACCGATTTCCGCGGCCCGCCTTGGTGCCCGGGTGCCTGGGAGCCTTATAGCCCTATAGACTTATATAGCCTATATCCCTATAATCCGATAGCCTTACAGCCTTATAGCCCTAGAGCCCTATCGCCCTATAGTTCTATAGCCCTATAACCCTATTGCCCTATAGCACTATGGCCCTATAGCCCTAGAGCCCTAGAGCCCTAGAGCCCTAGAGCCCGAAAGCCCGATAGCCCTATAGCCCTATAGCCCTAAAGCCTTATATTCCTATAGCCCGGTAGCCTTTATGGCCCTATAGCCCTATGGCACTTTAGCCCAATAGCCCCAGAGCCCCAGAGCCGCATAATCCTAGAGCCCCATAGCCATATGGCCCTATAGCCCGCATAGACATACAGCCCTATGGCCCTATAACTTTATAGCCCTATAGCCCCACAGCCCCGCAGCCCCACAGCCCGAAAGCCCCAAAAAGATTTGATCCGGATTTGCCCGGGATCATACAGCCGGCCAAACAGATCCCTCCCCCCACACAACTTCATCATGACCCGAAGGATGGTCGTATAGGTAGGGGGATCCTAAGCGGATGCCAACGTTGTTACATCAGTAAGGGTTTCGCCCCTTGCGGCCAGCCCCCTCTCTCGGATAATGGGGGATGCAGAAGCTATATTGTGAGGCCTGGGCGCCGTCGTGAAGCAGCGTCGGAACTCCGAACGGGGTCACTTGAGATATCCAGGTGCCTTGCAGGGCTCCAGGTGGGGCACACGTTGACACATTGCCAATACACGCTTGGATCTGATGGTTGCGTAAGGCTCGCATGGTTGCCTTGCATTATTTAAACGCTTCGCTCATTCCGCCAGCCCCGGAGCCCTCTTTAGGGCCTCTTGAGGGCCTCTTGGGGACCTCTTGGGAGTCTCTTGGAGCTCCTTGGCGGCGTCTTGGGGGCTCCCAGGGCCTCTTGGGGGGCTCTTGGGGGCCTCTTGGGGGGGTAGTCGATTGCGGCTCCCCCCTCGGAGGCCACGATCCTCGTGAAGGGTGTCGAAAAATGGCGCTCCCTTGAAGCGCACTGGGGGCTTCTCCCGGGACCTTGCCAGGGTACTTTTCGTCTGGGGGCCCCCAGGGGCAGCCCCGCGCGCGCGCGAACTAGAAATATTGTTAACCAGTTGCCGGAGATCTTAGCACGCCTCTGGCCCGTTGGGCCGGCGAATTCCTTTTGAGCCTCCCCTGAAACAGCGATTGGAAAGTGATCCGGATGTGGTTGGGAAAGGTTCAGGGCATTTGCGATCTTCAATATTCGTGTTCGTGATGTGCGTTTGTATGGTTTTTTTTATTGAATGAGTTTGTTGCGCTTCGGGGGCCTTCCAAAACAAATCCTCAGTGGAAACTTCGTGACGCTTCGATGATCCTCACAAGCCCATGCAGAATTCAGCCGAGGCTGCCTTGAAGCCTCCTTGGAGGCATTCTAGAGCCACGCTCGGCCAGAGGCCGTCTTGAGGTTTCTAAGAGGGAGGTATGAGGCCATATTGAGTCATGCTCGGATAATTTGCGCGGTCTTGGAAGCCATCGCTTTTCCCAACCATTCTGTGGTATTGGGTCCTCGTTTTGAAGACAGCGCCCCGCGTTCCTTCCTTCCTCCTCCCCCTGCTCCCTCCTCCCATCCTTGCCTCTGCCCTCTGCAATTTCGGCACGCCCCTCACAGGCTTCGTGGCCCTGTAGGGAGTTCCACCGAAGGCCCCAGTGGCAGGGCCCGCATGCCGCCACCTCGTCATGTCGGCCACTCACACGCTTCGTGGCCCCATAGGTAGCTCCACCGAAGGCCCCAGTGGCAGGGCCCGCATGCCGCCACTTTGCCATTTCGGCACACCCCTCAAACGCTCCGTGGCCCTGTAGGGAGTTCCACCGAAGGCTCCAGTGGCAGCGCCCACATGCCGCTACCTCGCCATTGCGGCACACCCCTCACACACTTCGTCGTCCCATAGGGAGCTTCAGGCCCCAGTGGCAGGGCCCGCAAGCCGCCACCTCGCCACTTCGGCACACCCCTTACACGCTTCGAGGCCCCATCGGGAGCTCCACCGAAGGCCCCAGTGCCAGGGCTGGCATGCCGCCACCTCGTCATTTCGGCACACCCCTCAAACGTTTAGTGGCCCCATAGGGAGCTCCACCTGAGGCCCCAGTGGCAGCGCCCGCATGCGGTTCCATCCCACATGTTGGCGCACCCCTCGCACGTTTCGTGGCCTGAGGCGGCATCACCGAAGGCCGCAGCGGCGGCAGGGTCCGCATGTTGATGCCGCCCCAGTTCTGCACACCCCTCGCACGTTTCGTGGCCCCATAGGGAGCTCCACCGATAGCCCCAGTGGAAAAGGAAGCCTGCCCCCGACGGGCCACTTTGGCACACCCCTCAAACGCTTCGTGGCCGCATAGGAGGATCCAGATCCACCGAAGATGGTACTCTCAACTGCGGTACGTATCACTGCTTATGGTTGGGTCCTTCGCCATGCCAATTGGTGTCTAGTGTTCTGTTGGAGCCATCTTGTGCCAAAAAGGACGAGGTGGATGGGGCGAGGAGGGTGCGGACGGCGCGTGCAGAGCAGGGGTCTCCCGAGAGTTGGGGCCCTCTTGGGCCGTCTTGGGGGTCTCTTGAGCAGTTTTGTGGCCCTCTTGAACCGTCTTGGGGCGCTCTTGAGAGCCTCTTGGGCCGTCTTGGGGTGGTCTTAAGAAGCATCCTGGGCCGTCTTGGAGCGTCGGATGCCCGAACAGACGGTCGTGCCAGAATCCATCAAACATTTGCAGCAGATCGCAGATGTTGGTCACTTGGGCCCCTCTTGGGCCCTTCTTAAAGGTGCTCTTGAAGCGCTCTTGGGAGCCTCCTGGGGCCTCTTGGGCAGTCTTGGAACCATCTTGGGCGCCTTTGAACACTCTTGGGCCGCCTCGGAGGCCTTTTGTACCGTCTCGGGGCCTTTTATGAAGGATTGTGGCCTCGAGAGCGCGAATACTGCGTACTTTACGACGGTGTACGACTTCGAGGACGCAAAGAACGCATAATTTACGATGGATCGCGATTTCGGGGACGCAGAGATTGCATAAGTTGCGAGAAGGTCTTGCCTCGGAGACGCGAACCTCGTGTAGTTTACCATGAATTATGGTCTCGGCAGCGCGAAGAAAGCGTAATGTGTGAGGCTTTGGGGCCTCGGGGACCGAACATTGTGCAATTTACCAGGGGGTAAGGCTTCGGGGGCGCGACTACGGCGTAATTTCAAGGGATTATGGCTTCGGCGGCGCGAATATCATGAATGTTTCCATGTCCCAGGACCTCCCAGAAATGTTTGAAAACTCCCCAGATGAAGGTAACCAGGGCCCTTTTCGGCTCCCCCCGGTCGCGAAAGACTTCAACAATTCACAGTAGGGAGCAGAACACAGAATTGCGACAGACATCTGAGATTAGAAGTTGGAACTGAAGCAGGGAGCTGCAAGCGGAGCTTGATGGCCCCGCAAGGGGGCCGGAGGACTTGGCCCAACTTACCGCACAGGTGAGTTACGAATGCCCCAAGTTGCGCAGAGGGGGGGGGTAACTCCGCTAAGTGGGCTGAGCCCACTTAGCCCGGATCGCTAACCCCCTTGAGCCATTTGGTGTAATTGTAACCCATTTATAAGCCAGGTTGGGCCAGGTACAACAACCTTGGCATCCGCTTCTAACCGTCTGATCCCCTGATCAACCCCCACGGCCATCCCAGCAAAGGGGTCCCACCGAGGAGCGACATGGGAAGAGGGAGGAGCACGGAGAGAGGGAGCTCGCTTGGCTTTAGAGGAAGAAGATATGGCACAAACATAGACTGTCGGAGCTTCGCGCGGGTTTCTTTGGCCTGCGCTGGGCTACTCTGGCGGCGCCGCACCTGGCGCGCTCCGCGCGCCAGAGAGGGGGGTCCAGCGCCGATGCAAGAAATCCGCACAAATCTCAGAGAAATCATGTTCATGACGTTGTTGGCTCCTCTAATAAGGAGAGGGAGTCCGCGTGGCCATAGAAGAGGAGGAGGAGGACAGGAGGAGGGAGATGGCAGCAGAAGTGCCCGAACATCGAAGCGTGGTCTCGGTTGTAGCCAAGACACTGCATGACCACAGATGCGCTTATCATTTGATAGTGGTAACTCCCGGAGAAGCAGGATGTATGGTGGCAAACGGCGATGGGAGGGCTCATGTTTTTCCTATGTCCTATGTGCTTGCACCACGGGTAATCGCCAAGGGACCCGTCTTATGATATTAGTTTGTTCGAGTGTTTGAGAGAGGGCCTTATCGCTCACGCATCCAAGTGATGTCCCTGCGGCTTCTTCAAATGCGGCTCTCAGTAACCCCAATGACCTGGCATTTTCAAGTGATGGCATAACATGCATTGTGCCCATATCCCGGTAAGGGAAAGCGGGCTTGATTTGAATGGTCCACCTTCTTGGGCCAAGGAGTGTCCTCCCCGTATAAGTTTGATGACGATGCTGTTTACGCCGTCTGGCTTCGTGGCGGTGGACGAACGCCCGCGCTCAATACTCGGGTGTTGCTAGAAGTACCCCTGGCCCAAGGTGCCCCCAGCTGTTCGCTCCGTTGTGGAGCCCCTGAGGCCCTCTGGGCTTCGTGAGGGGTGCTCTAGAGACCGTTTGGGCTACCCCGAGAATCCTGGGGGACACCTTGGCCCAGGGGCACTTCTAGCAACACCCGAAATACTAATACTCCCTGCAGCCGAGGCCCTGGCACGTGCAGTCATTACCACACCACCCTCGCATCGTAATTCACAGCCTCCAGTCGGCGGAGCCCACTGCTCTAGACGGCCATTGGGAAGGCGTGGTTTGGGCTGAGCCCTCGTTCCTATGCCTACCATGCCCGTGTCATGTCCATAGCCAGAAGACCGGTGACGCGGCACGATGATACGAACATGCCTGCCCGACCAACAGGTGGCGATCAAGGTGCAGCGGGACAAGCTCAAGGAGCATCGCCTCGACGTTCACAGCGTGGCTCGCCCAATGTACCATACTATTTTTTCGCCGTGTAGAAGTTGCAGCGGCTTGTCTGAAGCCAAGACTTCTGGGATAAGCGCACCCGCTCCGCACCGCAGCAGCCCGTGTTGAAAGACATTGCTCAAGTAAGTGTCTGGTCGACCACCGGGAATCGAGGCCCCCATGAAACGTAAATTGGGTTGGACATGTTGGCCCGCCCTTCCTCGCAGTATCATTGCATACCTGCGTTCGGCCTGGCCTTTCGCTGAAGTCTAGGCGGTATTGTCTGCAGGATGAGGGAAGGATGAGGGAAGACAGAGGATGGCCAGAAAAGAGGCTGGAGAGCTCAAGAGAGGCCACGGTCACGACGCAAGCAGCGGAGAGGATAGGCACGGGCTTAAGGAAATCCGGGGAAGGGGACATAGAAGTGCACTTGGAGGTTTCTGGGAGGAGGGGGCAGGGTGAGGGCGTGGGGGGGGGCAAACTTGTCCATCCATGAGGCTGCTTTCATTTGGGAGCCACCACTCGGAAGGTTCCAGCCGGACTTGAGGAAAAAGCTAGGGAACAGAAGCGGCGCTTTTACCGTGCTCCAGGGAGCGGGGGAGTCGTGCTGAATGGTATTATGGCCAGGCAGAGCCTATACCTGGCGCATGCCGCGCGCGCGTGAAGGGGGGAAAGGATGGGGATAAGCGAGGGGGGCTCGAGCTGGACATGGCGACGGGGAGCGGAGGGAACCCGCATGTCTCCTCCCCCCCTCCTTGGCCAGGAGTGGACATACCCTGCTTCAGCCAAGCACCCTTGAGTTAAGACCGCCCGGGGCCCACCCCTGCGGGCGCAGGCTCCGCAAAGAGCGCGCCGCGACACGCCCTCGCGAGAACCGAAAAGGGGCAATTCGCTGATCGACCTGGCAGGGGGCGGCTGGAGGTGCAGTGGCGAGGAGGAGGGAGTCGGCAGACCATGCTGTGACGTCTGGCTCTTCGGCCCATTGCACGCGGTTCGAGGCGACGCTGCATGTTTGCTTTCCCCTCTTCCCCATTCATCTCGACTCGTCGCTTCGTGTTTTGCGTAAGTAGTATCGTCGGCCGTTTGGGCGTCGTGGGGTATTCGGACGCGGCACGTTACCCTCTCGCAGGCCACGGTTGACTGCATGAGCTTGCCTGTCTCAGGTCGGTTCACGTCGGAAATTCTTGTTTGCCTGGCGACGCCATAATGGGCGCCTGCGTTTCAGCATCGTCTGAAACACTGCTCCTGTCTCCACTGAGCGGTATCTGCCCGCGGCAGTGTCGGAGGAGATGTACGATCTGGACCTCCCACAGTTCGACAAGATAACTGACATGATGGACAGGTGCTGAGGGCAGTAAAAGAAGATTGTGTAACAAGGGTGAGAAGTTAGCTATGTTAGCACCGCCGCCTTGTGTAATTAAACTGATGGGCGGCCGTCTGGACCACGATACGTTTCATTATGTGTTGTTGTGTTCCGTCTTTTAGTGCATACGCTGGATATGTTAGTTTAGCGTGCCGCTCAGTGCCGCTTCATCAGAACATGCAAGTTGTAGACACGCATGCACCACATTCAATGGAATAGGAGTTGCCCGTTGAAGAATGCATAGTGAGACAGGGACATGGCTTAAGCCTGGACGAATTCTGAGAGCGCCAAGGTTCAAGATTGGAGTTGATGCCAAGACGATGTTCAAAGACGCAAAGGTCATTCTGTACCGAGAGATCGACTACACATCCGAAGCTGAAAACACCAGAAGGTGGTTGCGCTTGATAGCATTGTTTCGCTGGTGTTTGGTGCATGAAGACCCATCGAAATGGTAGAATGCCCAAAGCTGCTTATCTGGGTTATGCTCCACGTCGGTCCAGAATGCATGTTTTGTTTTTTAGGCTAGGCCCTTCCAATGAGTCGAATTGGTTGTATAAACATGGCAGGGCATGAATGTCGTGCACAGGGCGATGGAAAGTGCGAAAGCAAAGACGCAGGGGCCGTAGCACGGCCATCTGGGGTAACGCGCCTTGAGTGAGAAAACTTCCAAGATGTCTCGCGGCTTGGGGGGTTGGACACGCCCCTTCTCTTCCTGCCCCTCTCTTAACCTCCGCCCCCGTCCTTCATCCACATCCCGCCTCTTCCTTCCTGCTTCCTCCTCCCTTTTTCCTTTGCCTCCCCCCCTCCCTCAAAGAACCCATATGATAATCTCTGTCATGTGAATCAGACCCACCCTCACCTATTCTTCAGGATGGTGATGATGCCAAGATGCGAGGATACCAGGACTCGCCGTGTGCAACCTTTAAAACATCAGGGGCCGGCTGGAACTGTGCGGCCTGCGGGGCTTGTTGGACTTGCGGGCCCCATAGGGAGGGGGCTTCCGATTGAGACTTCCTCGCTATGCAGTCACAGATGAGGCTCCCGCTCGAGACGTCCTCACGATTTACCCCTTCGGGGTGCTCGAGCGTTATGCTTGCTACACTACGCCGATGGCCCGCTCGGATTGCAAATCACTCACAAACCAGGCCCCCGCTCGAGAAATCCTCGCGATTTGCCCCTCTTGGGGTGCTCAAGTGCTATGCCTGGCCGAGTATTCGGATGACCCGCTCGAATTACCAACAGCGAAGCGCGGGCCCATAGGGAGGGGGCTTCCGCATGAGACTTCCTTTCAGCACACTGACAGGAGGCCCCGCTCCAGGCATCTTCACGATTTGTCCCCTTGGGGTGTTCAAGGGCTACGCCTGGCAGAATATTCCGATGACCCGCTCGAATTCCCAAAATGATGTGCGGGCCCCATGGGAAGGGGGCTCCCGCCTAAGACATCCTCGCAATTCGCTCACATACAAAGCCCCCGCTCGAGACATCCTCACGATTTGCCCCCCAGGGGTGCTCTAGCGTTATGTCTGGCAAGGTATTCCGACAAAGTCAGAGTGAGGGGGCCGAACTGTCGTTCATTGTCCTTGGGTGCGTGGTTGAAGTGGGATCCGTGATGAGGATTCTGCTTGTTGCGTTCGTGTTGTTTTTGTTGTTGTTGGTGTTGTTGGTGTTGTTGTTGTCGTCGTCGTTGTTGGTGGTGGTGCTGTTGTTGGCGTTGTTGGTGTTGTTGTTGCTGGTGGTGGTGTTGTTGATGTTGAACTCTCATTCTTGAAGAATAATTATTGTTGATCCCCACCCACCTGTGCACATTGATTTTTTCCGATTGAAGTGCCACCCCCGGGGCTCGCACCTTGTGTTTTCTCAAGGAAAGTCTTCCTGCTCAAACTGTGCCCCTGCCCCCCGGGCTACAACAACAACGGCTCCCGCCTGAGACTTCCTCGATTTTTACTCAGGACCCCCGCTCCCGCCTGAGACTTCCGCGCAATTTACTCAGGAAAGGCGCTCCCGTCTGAGACTTCCTCGCAATGTAATCAAGACCCCCGCTCCCGCCTGAGACTTCCGTGCAATTTACGTGGGAACGGCGCTCCCGCCTGAGACTTCTTCGAATTTTACTCAGGACCCCCGCTCCTGCCTGACATTTCCGCGCAATTGACTCAGGAACGGCGCTCCCGCCTGAGACTTCCTCGCAATTTAGTGAGGACCCCCGCTCCCGCCTGAGACTTCCGTGCAATTTGCTCAGGAACGGCGCTCCCGCTTGAGACTTCCTCGCAACTTAGTCAGGGCCCCCGCTCCCGCCCGAGATTTCCTTACAATGTACTCAGGACTGCGCTCTCGCGTGCGACGTCCTCACAAATTATTCTGGAATTGCGTTTCGGCGCTCAGGAACCACGCGCGCGCCAAGGACGCCTTCACAACGTGGTATCTTCCCTCTTCCTTCGTCCTTCCCCCTCCCCTTCCTCCCACTCTCCCTCGTTCTTCCCCTCCTCCTCTTGCAGGGCCCGCGCCAATTCCAATGGCGGGCAGAGAGATGTACGCCCCCGAAGGATTGTCCGCCCGTTCCGGTTTGCCCGTACGTCTAAGCCCGCCGGCCCCAGCAAAGAGAAATAATCCCCCCGAAAGGGGTGTGATCGAAGACGAAGAGGGCGGCGGGTTTCGAGGGTGTAGGGTATACGTGTTGAATGACTCGCGGGCAAGTAAGAGCGTACAGCCTTAAAATGGTTGTTGCTGTTGTTGTTGTTTGGTGTCGTCGTCACGCCCGCGACCCACCCCGCGCACCACCCCGCGACCCACCCCGCGACCCACTTGCGACCCAACCCGCGACCCACCCGCGACCAACCCCGCGACCCACCCGCGACCCACCCGCGACCCACCCACGACCCACCTCGCGACCCACCCGCGACCCAACCGCAACCCATCCGCGACCCACCCACGACCCACCCGCGACCCACTTGCAACCCACCCGCGACCCACCCCGCGACTCACCCGCGACCCCCCCGCGACCCACCCGCGACCCAACAGCGACCCACCCGCGACCCACCCGCGACCCACTTGCGACCCACCCGCGACCCACCCGCGACCCACCAGCGACCCACCCGCCACCTACCCACATTGGTTTAACGAAATAATCGGGGCCTGTGGCGGGCTCGTTGTATAATGTGTGAAACGTTGGCGCCTGCGGCGGGCTTCTCCAGAGACTCGCAAATTGCCGACGTCCCCACCGCCCCCTCACTCCTATCCGCATCTGCGGGGTGCTAGGTATTCCGATGACCCGGTCGAGTTACCAACAATTAGGCGCGGGCCCCATAGGGATGGGGTTCCCGCTGCAGACTTCTTGGCAATGCACTCACAGACAAGGCCACCCGCTCGAGGCTACTCACGAGTTGCCCCCTTGGGGTGCTCAAGTATTTTCCCTGGTAGAGTATTCCGATCACCCGCCCCAATCACCAACATGAAGTGCTGGCCCCATAGGGAGGGGCGGGTCCCGCGTCAGAGTTCCTTTCAACTCGCTCACAGACGAGGCCCCCGCTCCAGACATCCTCACGATTTGCCCCCTTGGGGTGCTCAAGTGCGATGCCTGGCCGAGTATCCCGATGACCCGCTCGAACTGCCAACATGAAGCGCGGGCCCCATGGGGAGGGGGCTTCTGCCTGAGACTTCGTCGCAATTCATGCAGAGACCCGCTCGAGGCATCCTCACGATGTGCTCCCTTGGGGTGCTCAAGTGCGATGCCTGGCCGAGTATCCCGATGACCCGCTCGAACTGACAACATGAAGCGCGGGCCCCATAGGGAGGGGGCTCCCGCTATAATTTTTGATCGCAATCCACTTAGGGACGAAGCCCCCATTCGAGACATCCTCACGATTTGCTCCCTTGGGGTGCTCAAGTGCTATTGCTGGCCGAGTATCCTGATGACCCGCTCGCATTGCCAACATGAAACGCGGGCCCCATTGGGAGGGGGCTTCTGCCTGAGACTTCCTCGCACTTCACTCACAGACGAGGCCCCCGCTCCAGACATCCTCAATATTTGCCGCCTAGGGGTGCTCAAGTGCTATGCCTGGTAGGGTATTCGGATGACTCGCTCGAATTGCCAACATGATGTGCGGTCCCGAGCGGGAAGGGGCTCCCGCCCGAGACTTCCTCGCAGATTTACTCACAGACGAGGCCCCCGCTCGAGACATCCTTACGAGTTGCCCCCTTGGGGCGCTCAAGTGCTACCTATGTCTGGTAAAGTGTTCGATGACCCGCTCGAGTTCCCAACATGAAACGCGGGCCCCATAGGGAGGGGGCTCCCGCTTGTGACGCCCCCGCGATGTACTCACAGGCGAGGCCCCCGCGGTTTGCCCCGTTGGGGCGCTCAAGTGATGTTTGGTAGATTATTTCAATGACCCGCTCGAATAGTTGTTTCCTCATTTCTCTGAAGGCCAAAAAGCCTGGCTTTCGGTTGACGCAGGCAGTTCAGCTGTCTGCGCTCATCGCACTGAGCCCGCTTGACATGTTCTGGCGCGTCGGGTTTCGCAAACACTGATGTTTCACACAGTCGGAGTCTGAGGTGTCGTTCGTGACAGCGTCGGCCTGCCCCGTGTGGTTGGTTGTGGCAGGCTCTAGTGATGATAGCCGGCCACACGCCGAAACGCTACAGACGAACACGACCAGGGGCGCCCGGGAAAGTGGGCATACTCAGTCGTAGAACACAGGGTGCGTGACAAGGGCTTCAGCGCGGGCGCACATTATATCTTGCATATTGCAGTGATGTGGATATGTTTGGCAAACGGTTCGAATCACCAACATGAAAAGTGCTCTCGCGCCTCATTTGGCATCCTATGAGTCTCCCCCATCCCTTCCCATGGCGCTGAGAATTCTCCTTCCGCGGACGCGTGTCATGGCCGACGTGCGACTGACACAGAAAGACCGCTTCTTGTGATGCACAAATAGGAAAGGGAGAGCTGCGTGCACAGGGTGAAGAGGTGGCCCCTAGGGAGGGGGTTTCCGCTCGAGACCTCCTTCAAAGTCAGCATGTGAGTGTGTGAGCATGTATGGTGATGATGATGATGATGCTGATGCTGATGCTGATGATGATGATGATGATGATGATGATGATGATGATGATGAGTGGTGGTGATGAGTGAGCGTGTGAGTATGAGTGGGTGCGTTGCATGATGATGACCATGGTGACGGCGATAAGTATGATTGTGTTGGTGTGTTCCAAAGCGGGGTGTCGACAGCAAACAAGAAACACATTATCTTGTGGGGAAAATGCGTTCGACCCTCGAGGGTCGAGGACAAAGCTTGGCAGGAGGAGCAAGAGAAGGAGAAGGAGGAGGAAGAGGAGGAGGAGGAGGAGTTGCCAGGATCTCCGAGGGCCTCCACCATCTCCCGAGTGTCAAGTCGGTGGTCTGTGACGGGGGCGGCCTGAGCGCTCTAGCAGTGGACCACTGGCAGCCCGTCCTGAGGACCTCTGAGGACGGGGGCAGGAGTGAGGGCTCGGATGCGCGTGTTTCTCCGTCGAATGCCAGGTCTTATGGAGGGAAGGTCACACCAGGCGGTGCTTCTTCCAGGTAGCTGGCGCTGTTCGGGCCCACGGATGCCGAGGCTCGGGCCCTCGGTTCCCAGGCCCGCGAGCGGGCCAGGACCACCGGGGTGGCTCCCGAGGAGCTGCCCCCAGACGTGCCGGATGGGCCCGCGCAGTCCTTTTACACGGTTGCCCCACGCCTCCCTCGCGTCTGGGTTTTTCTCATTTCTCCTGCGTGCGAATGGGGTAGCACCCGTATTGCACCAGAGCTCGCGAGGAGGAGGAGGAGGAGGAGGAGGAAATTGCCACGCATCGCTGACGCTGCAGCACACGGTCCCGTCCCGAGGTCCCCTCTTTTACAAGCCAGTGCAGGTACAATCAGATTCGCTGCGGCGAGCAGCCGGCTGTGGAGGCGAGGGCCCAGCGGGCCCGCCGTCAAACGCAGCGGAGACCTTTTACTTCTTGCTCGCCCTCTCACTCATCGACTTTGATTTGGGCCGTTCCTGCTGCAGCGGCAAAGGTAATGGAAGAAAAAGCTGCATAAGCGCAAACTTTCGGAGCTCCTGCAGTTCATGCTCATGCCGACTTTCCTCTCCTGTGCAACAGGTCCAGGACCTGGGAGGGCCGGAGTGGTCCTGCCGCAGGCGGCGGCAGGGCTCGAATGGTTGAGCCTTGTCGGGCCTTCAGCTTGCATCAGCGGTGGGACGCCGGCTCGGCCGCACAGCGTCACAAAATCAAAGTTGTCGTAGTCATACGGCCCTGCCACTGCGTGCCCCAAGCGCCACCGGCGTAAGACGGACCAGCAGAGGTCCGTTGGAAGGCTTGGGGAGTGAGAGCCCGGCTGCCTTGCCGCGAGCAGCGGCAAAGTCGGAGTGCGGTTCAGCCGCACGACGTCCCAATTCGCAACGCGTGATTCGTTCGAGCATTGGAGACATAGGCGCGGCGCCGACTCGAACGCCCGACTCTGAAAGGGAAGCGCCATCCATCCAGCTACGCGTTGAAAGCCCCGAGCTGGCTGTATGATAGCACATTCCAAAATGGCCCCAGGTAAGAGCCCAATGTTGAAAAGGAGTCGCCGCCCACCCTTTTGCAACGCTTGGAGCTCACGAACTCCAAAGGGAAACCAAGCGCGAGGGCATCTCATGTGAGATCGCGGTTCTGACAGGGGGTCGCCATCTACGCGTGCAATTGTGTGGAAACATCTGCATATAAAACAACGTCAACGCTCCTCAGGCGAGGACAAAGCGAGCAGACTTAAACCTGCGTAACAAGTGGAGTTGCAATGTTTCGGGCCTTGGAAATTTCAGGATGGTATACTTCGAGAGCATGTGTTTGAAGGCACTGGCCTCCATCAGTGCAGCTGTCTGACCATAGGTCGTGCTGAAGTAACGCGCAAAAGCTTTGGACCTTCATACCATCACGGCTGGTGGTGCTACGAGGGTCTTTATTTTTGAAGGGATGGGAGAGTAGGAGGGAGGACGTGTCCTTATCTCCCTCCGTCTTCAGAGATCATCCCATGCGTCGCCTGAGCCTCTTTGGGATATGATAAGTGAACACTGGGCTTCGCCTTCCCCGAACAATTGGCGTCCTCCGTCTCGACGTCCGTTCGTTTTTTCCTGGCGTGCCACACTGGGTGATGGGGCACTTCCGAGGGGAAGCACAATGTAGTGTCCACGTAATCCCCATCTCATCTTTATCCTACTCCTCATCCTCCCTGCCGTCCTTCTCCATCTCCTCCTTTTCCTCCTTTTCCTCCTCCTTTTCCTCCTCCTCGTCCTCCTCCTCGTCATTGCGTCACCTTCTCCTCGTCCGCAGCCTGCTTCTCCTATTATGATTTGAAAAGACATGCGTCACAGACGCTCGGGATCAGCTGGAGCGGCCATCTGAGTGCGACTGTAGCATAAAAGCTCGGGAATCAGGCCTTCTGAAGTCTGTGCACTCGTGGGGCGTTCCGCGCTCTTCGGGGACTGGCTCGTTCGGGCCGCTTCAGACCCAATCGTTCCAGTCATCCATGCACAGGGCGGTGGCGTCTGGGAAGGCCAGGCACGATTCCGAGGCAGATGAATTGCACAACATTGCCCACACGGATTGTTAGAACGGATCCCGAAGCGACATCATTAGGCGGCATTCCGTCCAGCAGTTCTGATTGACCGTGCACATCAGTTGGGTTTGCAATCTCATTCTTGCCCCGCCACCGACGGCACAAAGGTTAGCCAAAGCTTTCGAGAACGAGCCGTGGGTAAAGATTCCAAATATCATCGACGACTATACGACCGAGAAGATTTTGACAATGGAGTATGTCCCAGGCTTGCATATGATGCTTTTTTTCGCACAGCGTTCCGACCACACGTGCCCATGCCTTTCTGTGCTTGCATCCTGGTGCCGGAATCAGTTCGAACCTCTGCTGCAATTATTCCCACTAGGTCATTGTATAGTGGCCTTCGGTCCGTCCCGCCGTTGGGCCTGGGTCACAGACAAGAGGCGTCTCAGAGATCTCTTGCCTAAAAGGTTTCTTTTCAGTACCTACTGTACGGTGGCTGTTTTGAGTCAAGTGTTTGTGTTGGTACGGTGCTTTTCTGATGTGTGTACCCTTGATGAGTGCCTAGCTTGCTGCGTGCTGCTGTCCTCCGTGTCCCAGGTATCAAGATTGACAACTTGGAGAAGTTGGATGCCACAGAAGGTTGGGGGGCTGCAGCTCAGTGTTGTGAAAGCGAGAACAACGGAGGAATCCCAAAAGCCATGACTTGCACTTCGTCCACAGATCATTCTGCGTGCCGAGCGGCGGGAGCGAGAGCCGCAGCCCCATGCTTGCGACCCAAACGCACACACACACACACACACACACACACACACGCGCGCGCGCGCGCGCGCGCGCCCCCCATACACACACATACACACACACACACTGTTTTGCGTCGGCGGCTAGGCAGAGTGACTGCGCTGGCGATGAGGCATTGGAAGATGTGGCAACGCGAGTTCGGCCACCATGCAGGAAGGAGGATGCGCCTGGCAGCAACGGGGAGGAAGAGGAAGCCCGGCCCGCTCAGAGAGGGGCCAGGCGCGCGGCGGGGGCGGCGCCGGGGGGCGGGGCCAGCAGCAGCGGGGCGGCGGTTGGGGGGGGAAGCCGGCAAGGCGGGCTGCCAGGCATCAGGCCATGTTGGGGGAGAGCTTCCAGCAAAGGCTGGTGGCGAACGTGTGCACGCAGCGCCAGGCGCCAGCGGGGGCTGGGGTCACACGTAAACAAAGCGAGCAGCTGGGCCAGCGGCGACCAAAACGAGACCGCCTCAGGGTGAGGGGTCGGCCTGAAAACCAGGCAACTCGGAGGCGGGGGCGGGGCGGGGCGCGGGCGGCAGAACTGGCCCAGGCCCTCAGGCGAGGCAGCGGCGCGGCCGGAGGGCCGAAAGGAGGTCCCGTCGCTAAGCGAGGGCCGCGGGGGGAAACACCGAATGGTGCGCAGAAGGCGAGCGCAGGGTCCAGAGCGGCCGGGAGAGCAGGCGAGGGGGGGGCGACCAGGCGGTGGCCAGTTTGCCAGCGTGGCCAGGTAGGGGTGGAAGCATTAGCGCCCGACGCGCAGGGAGACGCCGTCCGGCCAGGTGGCAGAGCCCGGGACGCGGGCTGGTGCGCTGGCAGGACGTGGGCGGTGGCAGTGCGGCCACACCTGGAAAACGGGTGCGGGACCGGAGAGCCAGGCAAGGCGGGGGGGCAGGGCGGGGGGCGCAGGCGACAAGACCAGCCCATGCCCGGAGACGCCGGAGCAGGCTGGACTGGAGGGCCGAAGGGAGGCGAGCCCGCCGAGCGGGCGGGGCCGGGGGGGGTAATTACGCCGAGAGCACCGACGGTGCGAAGCCTGGGAGCGGCGGCAGCGCGCGGCGCCGCCGAAGGTGGGGCGGCGAGGCCTTTTGGCGTCGTGCCGGCTGGGGTCGCGGGTGCCGCCGCCGCGCTGAGCGCAATACTTGCTCCAGCCGCACTGGGTTCGCCGCCTGCTTGCTGTATCCTTCTGACCCTGGCCGACAGGGCTCCCTCGGACTGGAGGAAGTCGTGCAGGACGCGTTCTGGGACGTCCTGGGAACGCGCCCGCCCTTGTCCCTGCTTCCTGTAGTCCGAAGCGACCGAATCCCAGTGGGTGTGGGTGTCCAGCGAGGCGGCCCAGATGCCTTTGACAAGGAGCGAGAGCTCCCGCCGTGCAGAGGTGCCTCCCCACGCAGAGTGGCGCTGGGGTACCCTCGGTGCCGGAGCCGCCAGCGCCCGTCGCCGCTGGGGCAGGGGCAAGAGCCTCCGGGGCAGGCAGTGGGTTTCCGTTGTGATGCAGCACTGGCGGACTGCAAGGAAGGTCGCCAGGCGCCGCCCCGACTGGGCTGCGATGCTGGATCCCCCTGCGCCGGATGGTGCAGTTGTGTTCCGTTTTCCGGCCGTGGCGACGAGTCAGTCGAGTTTTTGTTCTTTCCCCCCTCAAAAATGATTCCTCCCATCTCCTGGGGAACAGGGATCATGCATCGAGCTCGGACCCCCATCCCGAGCTGTCGCCAGCCTCGCCCGCGCCGCCATCTCCCTCGCCAGCGCCGCCATCTTCCGTTCACTCTCCCACCGTGCGAAGTCCTTGCCGAAGCCGGCTGCCACAGCCCCTCCTCGCACGCGTTGACCCGGGTGTTGTGGCGGAGGATGATGGTAGAGGGCTCCGGCTTCGCCCCCGACGTCTCGTTGCAGAGCGCCGGGGCCAGCTGCAGCTGGCTCTGCCCTGCTGCCGCCCCGCCCACCGTCCGCGCCGATGCCACTGCCGTCCCCTCCCACTGCTCCCGCCACGCTGCCACTGCCTCCCCTCGTCGTCTTACCGCTGCCACTGCCTCCGCGGTGGCGTCCCTCCCCGCTCCTCCTGGTCATCCGAGCCTCGTCGTGTCCTCACTTCCCGCCGTGCTGCCATTGCCGTCGGTCCCCGCTCCCACTCCACCCCCGCTGCCACTGCCGTTCCTCCCCGCTTCTCGTGGTCCTCCTGCTTCTCCTAGCATACCCACTCCTCCTGCCGCGCTGCCACTGCCGTCTCTTCCCACGCCACTATCACGGCCCGTCGTGCTGCGTGCTGCTAGTGCCGTCCTCGTTTTCTCCCCCTCTTCCCACCGTGCCACTGCCGCCACCACTGCTACCACTGCCCGGGCCGGCTGCCACTGCCATGTCTCGCACGCGCTGGTCAGGGTTGTGTAGCGGATGATGGTTGCGGCCTCCAGCTTCACCACCATTATCTCCCTGAGCAGCGCCAGGGCCGGCTGACGCTGCCCCTCCCCGTCGTTCACGCATGCGCTGATCGGGGCGCTGTAGCTGATTATGGCGCGAGCAAGCTTCACGACCAACATCTCGCTGAGCAGCCCCAGGATCGGCAGCCACTGCCCATGCCCGTCCTTCTCGCTCGCGCTGGTCGGGATACTGTAGCTGATGCTGGTGGCGGGATCCAGCTTCACGACCAACATCTCGCTGAGCAACCCCAGAATTGGCTGCCGCTGCCCATGCCCGTCC